CTTAATGTTTAGAAACTTTTGGGCTTGCAAAAACTGAGAAGTTTTCATAATCAGTTCTGGAATCCTCACCACAATTTCTTGTTAATGATTCTTAAAAAAAAATTGCATAAAGTATTTTTTCAATCCAAAATGACACATTTGATTTCTCTAAGAAACTTAAGGCTACCATTATTAACTCTATGAATAGTTACTGTTAGAAGGGAAATTATTGGGTTACTTCACACCCCATGTTTGGTTGGTGTGTTCCAGGCCCCATCAGTAAAGAAATGCCATAGTTTAGGAACTCACAACTTTCCTTCTCTACTGTCTCAGACCTAGGGTCTAGCATCCCATCCCTGAATTCTGCAGAGCTTTAATCTTGTCCTTAAAAAAGTCATTCAGACCTGAGTTTTTTCAAACCTGAGACAGGACATTTTGTGACTATGCATGGTGTACTTGTTTTGTATTACAATATTGGTTTCCCAAGGAGGTGAGCAATATTTTCTTACAATAACATTTCTCCCCAATATAGTGTTTTAAACTTTTTTTTTTAAACTAAACTGCCTAGCGGGTAATTGAGAGGGTAATAATTTGAACAAATAAATTAATTAGGACCCTACACTGAAAAACTGTCCCTGAGCTCCACATGTAGGACAACTGAAGACTTAACAAAATCCCATTTTTATAACTGTCCCAGCTCCCATGATTATTGAAAATTTTAGTGTGTTTTCCTTTCATTTTGAGACAAAATAGTCAAACCTAATCTAAAGCAATAGGTTTAACTTAAATAAACAACAATTTTTAAAAGTCCATTTGTTACTGTTAAATTAAATTTTAGTGTTAAATTTTAAAGTGTTAAACTCCAACATTTTAAAATTCCCCTCAAAAACCAAGACAAAAAAGTTTAGTTCTCCCCATTTTGCATAGTTTGCTACTGCATTCCTTTAAAAAAAAGTTAAGTATTGCTTCCAGTTCTCAAATGGTTCCCAATTCTGTTGTAGAACTAAGTTGCTTCTGGTAATTTGGTGTAACATTTGATGATCTAATGGGAAAGAGAGCTTACAGAAATATACAGAATGTCATTGTGCTCTGCCTATTGGGACAATATTGACCTCTCTCCCAACCTTCAGTTGTTTTTACTGCCTTACTGGGATATTTAAAAGCTCTGATCTCTTACCCTCTTTTCATTTTTTTAAGAGCTTGCAGGTCGAGATTTCTTAGATTCCAAAAGTACAGTGGTTGTGTATTTACAGATTGCATAGATAAGGTCTTTGTACATTTGATTCTGCACAGCTTAAGTTACAAGTGTGAATGACAAACGGGAACAGAACCTATACCAAGTGTTTAGTGAGGTCTGTAGCTCAATACAATAAAGGCTATATGACCTCACAAGGTTGCTGTAGAAAAAAAGAAGGCAGAAGCAGTATTGGGTGTATTCACCACCTTCAGTTATTTATAAATAATAAAGGGGACATAAACAACAAACAAACAAAAGTGGTCCCTTTTCACTGTTACTGTTCTTTTTACAAAGCTCTATCATGTCCTATGCAGATAAAATAAGTCTTTAATATACTGTATATGTATGTATGAATTTGTTATTGATAAAAGGATTTCAAAATAACAAATTTAGGTTCCTGCACTTTAAGGTCCAAACCATTTTCTTCCTTTTAAGATAAGGGTGATGGTAATATAGAATACTTAACAATTGCCTTAAATTCTCTTTGTGTTTTATCATACAATTATGATCAATTTTCCAGTTGACTGTATTTGCCTTCAGTGTTAGCTTTAACTCCTGCATAAACATCCCTTCCTGGCCTCTGTTGGGAAGGTATTGGTTTTCAAGGTGATTAGCTGCAGAGAACACTTTGCCCATGTAACAGCTGTTCTTCCATATGGATGTTCACAGCAAGGTCCAAGAAATAAGATTAAAACCAGGTTAGAAAATATATTTGGAGACCAAAGGCGTGGGCTTGATTGATCCTCATGAAATTAACATATTAGGGAAAATAATATGTACCTAGAGCTATATTTTGTTGTTGTTGCTTTTTCACTTAAAACTGCTTTGTTTGTTCCAAACAAACCTAGATTAATCTTTAAATTGGGAGGCCGGAGCTTCCCACTCTGCTACCTTAGAACCAAGTATTCGCTAGACAATATAATTCTGTAGTGCTTTTAATTAACAAGAAATTTATAGCTTTGTTTTTATCTTCTAAGATCTGTGTGGACTATTGGAAAGAGAGAGGCATCTTGGGATGGCTTTAATTAGGGTTGGGGGGGGGGATCTTATTCTGGCCAGTCATCTCAAAGTCGCTCAAAGGAAACTGGAGATGGATCAGTACTAAGGGAGGCTACGTACTATAGTTTAGATTACATAGATTGGCTATCCCTGCCTTACAATGGGTTGCCTATAGATTTTTTTCTACAGAACTAGGATTAGTCTGAAGTAAGGGCAGCTGCACTGGTGACAGATGCAGTCTTAGCATGCTTCCCATGTGGAGGCAATCGTGCATTCAGATGGCAATGGTGGTTATGCCTGAAGTCATTCATTGGCACAGCTATATGTTTGCTTTCTGTGGAATCAGAACTTAGACAAGTTGACCTTATAGCCATTATTATATTTGAGCAAGTTAAGTATTAAAACTTCCTGGATAACGAAAGGTTTCAGTCCAATGCTAGGATTATATTAAAACATAGAATATAAAAATAGCCGCATAATTTAACTACATCCAATCTGCAGTTATAGTAATTAAACCCCAAAGTGCTCACCATCAAACCCATTTGTACTTTTCCTTTGGTTCCACCTATGAATGCAATAAAACTTTCAGGCTATTTGTAGCTTGGTTAGCCAAGCTTAGCATAACATGCTCACATTTTATAGTCAGAAGAAATATCATAATACATATGCAGAACAATCTGTAAAATCTCTGTTGCAGAAATTCAATGATAGATTTATTTAGCCAGTAAAAACATAGAAATATGGTACTTAAAAGGACTCAGTTCATTTACTAGTCCTTCTTCTCTGCCCCCGTTAACAATTTACAGTATGTTGGCAAGGAAGTGGAAGAAATTTTTATATATCAATAGCAGACTTATATACCACTGCATAGTGCTTTATAGTGCTCTCTGTGTGGTTTATGGAGTCAGCATATTGCCCCCCACAATCTGGGTCCTCATTTTACAAATCTCGAAAGGATGGAAGACTGAGTCAATCTTGAGCATTGTCAGGATTAAACTCCAGACAGGGCAGAATTAACCTGCAATACGGCATTCTAACCACTGTGCTACCAGTACTCTGCATTTATACTGGGTAATGCATTTATGCACTTGCATTGACTTTTATGCTCAACTGAAGTTGTTTAGATGAGAATACTGTACTGTAAGACAAAGACATACTTTAAGTGTTCATCCATTTAGAATACTAAAGAAATATAGTTATTTTTCTTTCTCAGGAAAACTCCACATCTCTGGTTCTCAGGGAAGTGTTTCATGAACAATTTGTATTGTTATGTTAATCCTTATTGTGCTAGAATAAATATAATTTTGTTTGGTGAAATATTTAGGTCTTAAAATGACCAATGCAAATAATGGTATTAAAGAGAGGCACTTACAAGCACACATGATATTAAAACAAACATTTTGGTCCTAGATCTTCAGTGTTCTCTTTTTCAAGTTGGGTTTTCATAGGTTACAAAGTTTTATTGTATCATCTTGAATCCAAAACTACATACCGGTAACTTTCTGAATGTGTATGGGAGAAATGGAAAGATAATATGCAGTTAATACAGTATATTTGTTTAATTTGCCAGTAATGGCCAAATTAACAGAAACCCTTGCATGGTTGGTAGCAATTACCTTTGAATTTATGTTGATTCTTTTACCCACACATCCTGACAAATATTTACAGGACTATGCTTATTCTTTAGATGTCAAATTTGGCTTCAATTATTTGATATAGGGATTGGTTAGTTTGCTTGCTGTAAAATTCAGCATTACTGGTGGACAATAGGCATATGTAAGATTAGTACTGGAGCAAAGGTCTGAAGTTGGCCTGATTGTGTGATGTCCTATTCTACTGTTACATGAGGAGATATGGAGATAGCTTTGGAATCTGGATTTAACAGTTGTAGTATGGTCAGTAGCACAATCTGTTGTTATTGATTAGTAGGCATACTAGGATAGGTAGTTGTGTGTAATAGGGCTAGAGATCTGGTCTTCAACATCCAGAAAACCACTAGATGGCAACCACGTTAGTTTTCTATATCTCTTGACTATATATAGCAGTCCTCCCACATGTAATGGGTCCTATCCTCTCCAAAAAATCCAGTTTTGTATCTATAGCCTACAAGAAAATGTCTGATGCATTCTCTGAGAGTTATTGTGGTTTAGTTTTTAAGATGCTACACAACTGCAGTTTTCCCTGATTTGGCTAAATGGTTATCTGTGTAGCAGAGGTGGTATTCAGCAGGTTCTGACCAGTTCTGCAGAACCAGTAGTGGACATTTTGAGCAGTTCAGAGAACTGGTAAATACCACCTCTGACTGGCCCCGCCCCCATCTATTCTCTGCCTCCCGAGTCCCAGTTGATCAGGAGGAAATGGAGATTTTGCAGTAACCTTCCCCTGGAATGGGGTGGGAATGGAAATTTTACAGTATCCTGCCACGCCCACCATGCCATGCCCACAGAACTGATAGAATTTTTTTTTGAATCCCACCACTGCTGTGTAGAAACCATTAAAGATTTAGAAGTAACTGTTTTAGATCGTGAAATGATAAATTTCTAGGAATTGAAACTTAAAGACTGGCCCATTATTTGTTTTGTATGCTATTTTCACATCCAAAATATGATTTGAAATCTCTAGGAGAGTTGGATTCTCTCCCCCCCCCATTGCTCTAGATTTTAAAATAATAAAGTTCTCTTATGTCCTGCAGAGAAACAATTTTCTGACATAAGAAAAAAAATCTGTCGTCTGGACTAAATGCATATGCTGTTATTTGGTCTCTCTTTTTTTCTCTCTCTTCCAGTCTGAATACCATTATGAATACACAGCATGTAACAGCCTGGGTTCCAGATGGAGAGTTGCTGTGCCCCACACCCAAGGACTCTGCACTGGCCTGCCAGATCCCATCAAAGGCACAGAATGCTGTAAGTCATGATTTCTGCCACCAACTTTTTAGTTTGCCACTGATTTCTTTCTTTTGACATTTCAAACATTATCAGAAGTAGAAACAAAGGTTACCCCACCCTACAAGATACTTTATTTAAGAGCAGGGGCAACACTGTCATTTAAATAGAATTATGTAACTATTTCTTTGCTTGGACGTAGTCAGAGGTGAGTTCCTACCGGTTCGGACGGACACGTGACCATACCGGTTCTATCCTGGGCACCACCATCTTTATTTTCTGTTCTGCACATGGGCAGAACAATCTTTATTGAAAAAATGTAAACCCCCCTTTTTTTAATAGTGTGTGCATGCTAGTCCTAGAGAGGTCCCAGTGATGTGCTGTTTTTCGCAAAAACAGAGGTGCTTTTGCCTTCCCCCAGCCCCCAGAAGCACTCTGCAGGCTTCAGTAGGGCTGGGGGGAGGCAAAAATGCCCCTGTTTTTGTGAAAAATGGCCTGTTTTCCACCCATTTTTTGGAAAAATTGGGACATTTTTGCCTTCCCCCAGCCCTGCTGAAGCCTGCGGAGTGTTCCTAGGGGCTAGGGAGGACAAAACCTTTTTTTCTTACTGGGTAGTTTGCAGGCGCTCCCTTAGCTCCAGCAAGGCTGGAGCCCCTCCCCCCATCAAAACTTTTCACCACCATTTTGGTGGGCATGGCTTGGTGAGGGGCTCATGTGACTGAGTGTGTGTGAGTGATGTCAAGTTGGCCATGCCCACTCAGTCACATGTCCCCCATCTAGCCATACCCACTCATCGACCATGGTATCCTTCTGCAACGGTTGCGTGAGGTGGGGGTGGGAGGCACCGTTCTTCGGTGGTTCTCCTCCTACCTCTCGGACAGGTCGCAGTCGGTGTTGGTTGGAAGGCAGAGATCTGCCATCCAACCCTAGGTCCCTTAAGTATGGGGTGCCGCAAGGTTCGGTCCTGTCCCCCCTCCTGTTTAATATCTACATGAAGCCGCTGGGTGAGATCATTCGGCGGCACGGGATAAAATATCACCAGTATGTGGACGATACACAGCTGTATCTGTCCGCCCCGTGCCAACTCAGTGAAGCGGTTGACGTGATGTGTCAGTGCCTGGAGGCTGTGAGGGTCTGGATGAGGGTAAACAAGCTTGCACTCAATCCTGACAAGACCGAGTGGCTTGTGTGTTTCCCTCCCAACAATTGGCCAAGTATTCCATCTCTCAGGCTGGGGGGTGAAATTGTACGCCCCTCAGACAGGGTTCGCAATTTGGGAGTCCTCCTAGACCCACAGCTGACTTTAGAACACCATTTGTTGGCTGTGACCAGGGGGGCATTTGCCCAGGTTCACCTGGTGCACCAATTGCGTCCCTACCTGAACCGGGAGGCCCTCGCAACAGTCACTCATGCCCTTGTGACCTCAAGACTGGACTACTGCAATGCGCTCTACATGGGGCAGCCCCTGAAGAGCATTCAGAGACTTCAGCTTGTCCAGAATGCAGCCGCGCGAGTGATTGTGGTGCACCCCGGTACACCCACGTTACACCTATCCTCCGCGAGCTGCACTGGCTGCCTATTGGTCTCCGGATACGCTTCAAGGTGCTAGTCGTCACCTATAAAGCCCTTCATGGTATTGGACCTGGGTACTTGAGAGACTGCCTGCTGCCAATTACCTCCAACAGACTTATTAGATCCCACAGACTAGGCCTCCTCCAAATCCCATCTATCGGCCAAACGCCGATTGTCTACCACCCGGAGGAGGGCCTTCTCTGTGGCTGCTCCGGCCCTCTGGAACGAGCTCCCCATGGAGATTCGGACCCTCACCACCCTTCAGGCTTCCCGCAAAGCCCTTAAAACCTGGCTGTTCCGACAGCCCTGGGGCTGACGAGTTCCTGTCCCCGCTCGAATTGTGTGGCTCTTGATTGTTTTTAAATTCTTTCTGTAGTTGCTTTTTTGTTGTTTTTCCTCTTGTCTGTATCCTCTACCTTTGGTTTGTGAGCTGCCCTGAGTCCCTCCGGGAATAGGGCGGCATATAAGTGCAATAAAATCAAATCAAATCAAATCAAACTGGCAGTAAAAAAAATTTGAAATCCAGCCATGGACGTAGTCTTATTCCCCAATTCCAATAATATTTGAAGATTTGAAAAGGAGAAATTTAAATTTGCAACTGACCTAGACTATCTCTCTGTCATATTTTTCTCCTGACCAGGGATATATTTGAAGAACAAACATTTCAGAGATTTAAAATGTTATGTTCTATACAAGGCAGCTCATCAGTAAAGAATCCTTAAATTGTGACTAAACTATAATTAGGACTACCATGTTAGATATTAATTAATTTGTCCATAATCAAGTGGACCACATATACATTTAAAAAATTGTAAACTTGTGCATGTGCTTCTAAAAATTGATAAAGGCAAATATTATATTAGAAGAGACATTCTATATCCATCCACACAAGAAAATACAACTTTTACTTAGAAGTATAATTTTGATTTAAATTTAACCATAAAATTGTTCATTTTTATTCCAATGGAACAGAATTACTTATAGCACAATGAGGGCATATGGGACCTAAAAAATTGAAACCAGTGTATTTGTACATAGTTCTTCTTGTTCTTTGTATTACATTCCATACATACTGTTATTCCTAGTGTTGCTATCAATGTTTAGAAGTAAAGTAATAGTATCTTTAGAAATAATACATCCCACTTCTAAAAGATAATTATTTCATAAGGTGCCATCAAATTGCTTCAACTGGTTTCCATCTTGAACTATCTATGTAGTAGTAACATAGATCTGCCAAGAATATTCCAGTCATCTGTTTGATCCTTTTCATCTATTTTATCTTTCCCTGTCTTCCCCTTTTTCTACTTCCCTCAATCTTGTCATGCATCATTATTTTTTATAGTCTATCACTCTATCAATCACATGCCTAAAGGGTTTCTGGAGCTAGCCTATTAATGAGCATTAGCCTACTCTGGCATTGTTAACTCTGAATTTTATAAAGTAGGATAGGACATAAATATTTAAGTAACACAAAATACCATAGACCTTTCTGCTCATTTTTTGATCATTCAATTGCTCTCTTTTTAAAGTTCCCAGAGAAATGATATAAAAGGAATCAGGATGTCCAAATTTCATCTCCATTTAGATAAAGGAATCATCCCCACACTATTTTCTGTTGTTTTCCTCATAATTTCAATAAGTTACAGGTAGTCCTCAACTTACAACAGTTGTAAGGGACTGTTCAAAGTTACCGTACAATGGCACTGAAAAAAGTAACATAGCTTGTATTTATACAAAACAAAGTCTTACAGTACAGTTTGATATCCACTTTTTAAAAAGGCCCATTGACTTAAAGGAACTTATTTCCTAGTATGGAAACATTTGGGTGGGTTGGTTGGTCATGTGGAACAGCACTTAGTTTCTTTAATTCTTTGTGTGAGAGAGAGAGCGGGTGGGAGGGAGGGAGGTGGGTGGGAGGGAGAGGGAGAGTGCTTTATTTCAGTTATGTTATTTCAATTATTAAGTATCTAATGAGAACTTGTATGTAATGAAAATACAAAATGTAGCTAACAAAGATGTCTTTCGTTTTATCTAACAAAAAATTATTCTTGTCAGATGTTAAACTCAAAGATATTAGAAAGTGTCATTCTATAAAGTCATGTGTAATAGATTCACTGAAGCTACCTGTGTTGGTCTGGATTCATCTTTTGCCCTGATTTTGTTTTGGTGATTTTCTGTATTTCAGCATTTTCTTGCAAAGCAGGTGAATTCTTGGATATGAAAGATCAGTCTTGCAAGTCATGTGCAGAGGGCACGTATTCTCTTGGGACTGGTGTCAGGTTCGATGAATGGGATGAGTTGCCCCATGGATTTGCCAGCATAGCAACCAATTTTGAAATTGATTACAACCTCTTGGAGTCCTTGGGAAACTGCACCAAGTGAGTGAATGTGTTATTAATGCTGGGATATGTCTGTTTGAAAGTCAACCTATATGCCAGCCAGTGACCTTAAGGCTGTAGATTCTAAAGCTTGACAGCATTTTGAGTAGGCTTATTTATGAAATATTGCAGCTAATTTATCTCTAAGCGTGGGAGCTCAGAATAACATTATCTCCTTTGTACATTACCACCAGTGCTTTGATTCTTCTGCTTTAGATTGAATTTCTAGATTTTGTTCAAACATTAATGCCTTCTTTACTTGATAGTAATAGGAGAAAAAACTGAAAACTGAAGCAAGGTGAGCACCTGCCAGTTCAAAGAAAAACAATGACTGCCACAAGGTCACCCTGCTAGCTTCATGCCTAGAGTGGGACTGAAACTCATGATATCTTGGTTTCTAACCTGGTAATCACTACACCAAATTATCTCTCAGTAGTGATTTACTTTATGCTGTTGAGATGAAAAACTGGTCTAGTAGAATTTTTTTTCTCTTACTACTTCCTTGGCGGCAGTGGAGTGAGGGGTGGCAGGGATTTTTTTCTACACTTTTTACATATTTCTTTTTCATTCTTTTTAATATATTTCTGAATTAGGTTGATATATCTATTTAATGTAATTAATAAAATTATAGGAGGGGGGGGGAAATAGTCCAGGAAATGCTTTAAAGCAGTTGTTTTCAACTTTGTGCCTTCTAAGCATGCAGACATCTGCATCTGCCATACTTCAGAGTGGACAAAGGTTTTCCAATATAATCAATTAAGCAAAAAGAAATGTACCTATATCCCTTTTTCATGATTGTATTACAGTGTACACACACAATCCTGAATCAGTATGCTTTGGCCTTCAGGTGGCTTTATCCATATATGCATATACAGTAGTAGAAATGAGTGTGTAGAGTATACGCTGTTCATTATCAAATTAGCATAATATCAATATAGCTCAACTACTCTAGGTGTGCAGCTTTTTTGTTTCATAATCTTGTTTTCAAGACCAAATTAAACCTGATACAAATAACTTACAATTAATCATTCATAAATATTTTCAGTTTTCTGTGGAAATACAAGATCTGACATTTGAATGTGTAACTTCTTCAGTTCAAATGTAACTTCTTGTAATGTCTTGGGAATACCTGTTTGGTGATGTGCAGTAGTATTCTCACAACCGCTGGGCTCTTTCTTCTGTTCCAGATCAACATGGATTCCTAAAGGAGATTATATTGCCTCCAACACGGATGAGTGCATAGCTACTCTGATGTATGCTGTTAACCTCAAGCAGTCTGGGACCGTCTCCTTTGACTACATCTACCCAGACAGCAACATCGTCTTTGAATTCTTTGTATGTTTCTTGCAATTCAATTAAAAAATCCTATCTAGGTTTTGATTATTTTATGTTATGTAAGAGAAATTTTCAATTATGTGCTGCCTTTTAAAAACTAATCACTGTTTTCCAGAATTTGCATTCCATATGATCTGGTATCTCCTCCCAGGTTGAATAAAACTCTTTCTATTTTATTTAAATCAGACACTAAAATTCATGTTCAGTAATCTGTTTGCAGTAATCTGCAGTAATCTGTTAACACTTTCCAGATATTCTTTTTTTCTTGAATTGTATTTGCTCATGAATTTTGGTTATGTTCTGGTGAGCTTTCAAAACAAAGTGATAGCTTTGTATGCTCCTTGAAGAAACAACTTTGTTATTTTGGCACTTATTTCCATAACTATAATAATGTTAGAACCAAGAAGACTTTTCCAATATTTATTTCTAGTCCAGAATGTATTGCTAGCATGTTCTTCAAAATGCACTTTTGATGACTTTGCAAATCTAAAGTATATTGAAATGCATTTAAGTGTTCTTTTAATTAATATTGGTGGCTCTATTCTTTTATATTGAAAGTAGCAGTAATAAAAAAGGTTCCCATGGATAAATAAAATGGGGAATTAAAAGATTCCAACTCACATGTTACAACCTAAATAAAGTAGTCTAGAATTCAGTGTTTTTCAACCTTTTTTGTGCAAAGGCACACTTTTTTCATGAAAAAAATCATGAGGCACACCACCATTAGAAAATGTTAAAAAAAATTAACTCTGTGCCTATATTGACTATATATAAAGTAATTTTCCCACGGCACACTTTACACTATGTCACGGCACACTAGTGTGCCGCGGCACAGTGGTTGAAAAACACTGGTCTAGATGTCCTAGAATCAGTCTGAACACTTTAAGCAGTCTGTATTTTTTTTAGTAATCAAGAAAAACATACTGTATTTCAATGTGCAGCCTTAAATATATACATTTTTAGAGACTGAGGTATGTGCCAAAATGGCAAACAATATTAATTTAATATTAAAGCATGTAAAATGTTACATTATTTCTTAATGTTCTTACACAAGATCGTGGAGAATTGAACATATTCCATAAGATTTTTAGGATTCTTTGAAAGGTACAGTAGTTCTAAAAAGTTAATCATCCTCTGAAATATCATTAGTTGCACAAACTTGTAAAAAGAAGTTTCCATCTAGTATCAAAAGTAGAGCATATGTTCAAATTGTATAAATCTCTATTCCTATAAACAGAAATGGCATCCTTATCTGCATCTTCATTTATTGTAGGTTCAGAATGACCAGTGTCAACCAGCTGTGGAGGATTCTCGATGGATGAGAACTACAGAGAAAGGTTGGGAGAAACACAGTGTAAGTATAGAATGTTTTTAAACTTAAAACTGCAGCTAGCACTAACTTGAGGAAGGAAAAATATACGAACTACTGGGAACTAGCACTGCATTTCAATATCCATATTATCTGAGCATGTTAACTAGATTTTTAATATCTATAGGTGGAATTGAGTCGTGGCAACAATGTCTTGTACTGGAAAACAACGGCTTTCTCTGTTTGGTCCAAAAACCCCAAGCCTGTGTTGGTGAAAAACATTGGGATTACAGGTACGTGTTTTGTCAGTGCACGCACTGAATCTAATGAAATGGTGAGGACCAGGATTATGACAGGCTCAGATAGCTTCTCTGCTCCCCTTGAACAGAGCAAAACTCACCATCTTCTGTTCTAGAGAGCCACGACTCCTTTGAAGACTTCTCCAATCAACCATGTCTATATTCCAAATTTTCTTTCCTCAGAGAATTTTGATGTGGTCAAGGCAGAGTCGCAATTGCAGGTGTATAGTTTTTGCTACAGATTTTGACAGATTGGTGAGGGGACTTGGAAATAGGAGATGGAACTTTTATGAGGGGGACCTTGTTTGAGATTGATTGATTGGTTAATCAATCTCTATGAAATTAATTAATGGGACAGAAAGATATTGCCTACCTCTAGTTTAGTTCATAGTGCAGGTTGCTGCTGGTGACGTTCGAAGGATTATTTTGCTTGCTGCAAACATGTTTCCCTTTTTCCCCACGTTCCCTAGGTGTGGCTTATACTTCTGAATGCTTTCCTTGTAAAGCAGGCACCTACACTGCCAAATCTGGTTCCTCCTTCTGTCAGCAATGCCCAGCAAATACTTTTTCTTCCAAAAAAGCTACTTCCTGCCAGCAGTGTGAGCCAGCAAATTACTCAGGTAATACGTTCTATGCCTCAGCCATTTCTTTGATGTGCAGTTAATTTTTTGTACTTGTTAGGCAAGTTATCCCACTTTCCAGCCATAATAGGTTTAGATGTATACATTGTCATCTTACATCGGTCCCTCTTTGCTTTTTAACTTCAATGCACAGGCTCTGTATAAACTGAAAATCAGGTATCGTTCTCTTATATTTCTAATCCATTTTTGTCTGTGTTTGCCATATCCTTGCCCTAAATTCTACAATATTGCATGCTAGATTTTGTTTCAGCTTCACTTTGTTGGCACTGTCTCATTCAGCAGCAGCTACAAAGGTAGGTAGGGAAATGCCTTTTTTTCTAATAAGTTTTCTAACAGTTGAGAGTCACAGAGATCATGGCAGTGATGTTACTGGAAGGACTATGCCTAGGATTTGAGTCCTTTTTAAATAATTTGAGTGGAGGAGTGTTCTTGGGTTTAACAACAAGAACAAAAAGAAATTATAGCCTTAAAAAAATTATAATTATTTATTGTGTTTGAAATATTGTAGAAAATATTGCTGCTGAATTTTGATAATGTGGTCTTGGGAGACTACAAAAAGGGAATAAAGAGGCTGCAGGCGATAATTTACCATACTTGATTTACTAGTTTGTTTCGGCTTCCTCTGGCACTTTTCAAAATTCCAAACTTCAGAAGAAAAAGAAAAACAACAAAAGTTGAAATACTTACTCTGTGCTTTTGCTAACACAAATACTAGGGTATACAGTACTGTATTGTTTGAATTTTTCCTGCCATATTGATTAAAAGACAGTAGAAACTTTGTTCAAATCAGAGTCTCCTTTACAATGAATTGGTTCGGCCCCTTTGAAACCTTGATGACAGAGAATTAGAAATTTAAGAAGAATCCACAATTTTTACAAGCTTGTTTATTTGTACTTATCCTTTTCACTGGCAATTTTGAAATTTGGAGAAAAGAGACTAGAGAGGGAAAATATAAGGTTGGCACTCTAAATTTGGGAGTGCCAATAAAAAATGCTTGTATTGTATGTTCACTCCACACCATCCCCACAATTTAACGAGATTATAATTCCATACAAAATTCTGCTGTTTTCTATAACTGGTTCCGGCATGGTAGCCCTAAGAGACCTCTATATGGAAGCATACTAGGTCTTTTTTTAGATGTGGCAGAGTCTTAAAAAAGGATAGCAGATTCAGTGTGAGCCAACTTATGCCTGTATGGAATAATTTAACCCATGAGGCAAATAATTTGAAATCTAAGATCAAGGATATATAGCCTCAACCTCATCCCTTTAATTATTCCTGAGCAATAGCTAGGCTGACTGGGTATAATAATGGTAATCAAAGAACATGTGAAGACTGAGAAAATCTGCCTTATTCTCAAACATATTGTTGTTGTTGATGATGCCACATTAATCCATGAGTGACTTGAAATAACTATAATTAATGTTATGATTGAAGGATACACATACACATATACACACACACAAATATAGTTTTATAATTTTTGATAGCTTATTGCTGAAAATGTTCCTGAGTCTCTCATGTCTGCATGGACTTAACTACTGTTTCTTTTGCCATAAAGAACCAGGTTCTTCTTCTTGCAAGACTCGCCCAGCCTGTACAGATAAGGATTATTTTTATACCCATACTACCTGTGATACAAATGGGGAGGTATGCAACCTCTAAAATTCCATACAGTAGTGGGATGCTGGGTATTTTGGGGAGGGGGGGGGCTTTTGAACCACATCCTTGATGGTCAGCATTATTCAAAATATTTTTGTTGCAAAGTGTCATATGCATATAAATAAAGGAGGGAATAGCAAGCATTTCCTTGTGGATACAATAATCAGAACAATTACCAAGACCTAAAATAGATAAGGATTGGTTCACACATCCCACATAGCCAGTGTTTATTTAGCTTTAAGGAGAGTCAAAGTATTTGTTACCTATTCCACAAGTATTGAATCTGGGACTTCAAAAGACTGGGTGGGCCACCTAAAATTCTTGGAGGTAGCAAACAAAATTCCTTCTCTCTGTGTAGCTGGGTTAAATTATGTTATCTGAGAAAAGGGGAAAATTATTACATATATGTAGGAAGGAAGGAAGGAAGGATTATTAGTTGTGTGAACAATAATCATGATGAATGATATATTTTTTTAAATTTAATTTATTAAATCAAATAGAACCAAATGCCATTTAGATCATGGCTCTGCCCCTTTTTTGGTTTTGCTTATAGGTTTTAGCAGACAAGTCCCAGTTAAAGCTAACTTCAGTCTATGGTCCTTTTTCCTTCATACATATTTGTATTTTTGTATATTTTTGGGAAAATAGTACACCATAATGAAAATTGTGAAAATTGTTCTCATCTTAGCAACATTGAAAGTTACAGTTCAACAACTTCTAGACTACTGTAGGCTGCATGCATTGCATACTGTAGGTGTATGATATCTTGCTTTTTGGGTAATTTGGACTTCAACTCCCACTAGCCACAGTTAACATGACCAGCAACAAGAGAGTCCTGGAATTGTGAACCAAAATATCTGGATAACATGAATTGTTTATACTACTGTATCAGAAGTGACAATTATAAATTCTTTTGCATATAAAAATGCTGTAAAATGTTTTATCTATGAATGAATGACTGATTGATTGACTGAATGGATAAATGAGTGATACTTTTATCTTCACAGACACAGCTAATGTATAAATGGGCTGAGCCTAAGATCTGCAATGAAGACCTCCCCAAGGCAGTGAAATTACCTCCATCGGGTGTAAAGATGATGTGTCCGCCTTGTAATCCTGGTTTTTTTAAGACAAATGCCAGCACCTGTGAGCCTTGCCCATATGGAAAATACTCAAATGGGTCTGGTAATGCTATTCTGTTTTTTTCCTTCTGAATTAGGTTAAACTCAAATAAATGACGTTCTCTAAATGATTTAAACTGGCACTGTGCTCTGATCACTGGGAACCGCCTCTAAAAAGCATGAACTGGGCACTTCCTGGATTCAATAGTGGCATAAAAGAAAATTCAGTCTTTTATTGTGGGAGTTTTTCTTCTCTTTTTTCTCCCTTATTTATTGTTATTTCTAAAGGCAACAGGGCTATGGGACTATAAATAACACTTGCGGAGAGGTTATTATTGGTTTACTTAGATTAACCTTCCCCAGTATAATGCTCCAAATTGTGTGCCTTCCAGTACACTACAAACAGTTTTTTTCTTTGATGAACCATCCACAAAGCAGGAAAAGAAGAAAGCCAAATGAACAAAGCTAATCTTTCTATCAAGAATTTTAGCGATGATTTACACAGGGTATTACTGATTTATTCTTGATCTTGATATACCTGACTAATTTGGAACATGAAGAATTACTCCCTGTACAACAATTTGCTCCATTAAAACAAATGGAAAAAAACCCTGAACCATTAAAACAGTGGTTCTCATGTTGTGGTGACCCCGAACCATAAAATTGGTATCTCAGTTTCTAAGACCATCGAAAATACGTGTTTTCCAATGGACTTAGGCGACCCCTGTGAAAGGGTCATTCGACCCCCAAAGGGGTCCCGACCCACAGGTTGAGAACTACTGACTGCTCTACAAGCTATATGTGTGAAAAAATGCTGCCTGCTTTCACAAAACATTTCAAGAATTTTTACAATTCATTACAAAAGAAAACTAAGCCAGAGTAAAATGCTTAATGCAGTGATTCACAAACTTGGCAACTTTAGGACATGTGGCCTTCAGCTACCAGAATTCCATAGCCAGCATGTATCAAATTCTGGTAGTTAAGAGTCTACATGTCTTAAAGTTGCCACATTTGACAAATATCAGTTTAGTGGATGTTCTTAAAAGGACTCTTTATAGGCTACTACTATCATAGCGGTATTATATTTTACCATTGTTTCAGAAAGTGCCGTTAATTGCTGCACCAATTAAAGACTGTCATTAGCAGTAGTGATTCTTTTCCTGACTGTTTGTGTCTTTGGTTTCTTTTTTTAAATTTAATTCTCAGGTTGTATCAATTGCCCAGTTGGCACCGAGCCCGCATTAGGCTTTGAATACAAATGGTGGAACACGCTGCCAGCTAATATGGAGACTACAGTCCTTAGTGGAATCAGTTTTGAATATAAGAGAATGGCAGGTATCCTCCCACTGTGTATTTTTACCTAATGCATTTGGATAATGCAAGGGGGCCTAGTTGTGCTATGTGTCTTTATTAGGTTGCACCATCAGACAGTTCACAAATTAACCCTAGACTTGTTATTTTACTCTTATGGGAATGGATGGGTTTTTTAAATAATAATTTTATTAAAGATGACAATTACAACAACAAAAACTAATACAAAATAAAAAAGAAGAACCAGAAAAGAAAAAAAAACAGAGAAATAGAAAAGAAACAAACAATAAGAATATAATTAAGAAAAAGAGAAGAAATAACGAAGTGACTTCCATTTCATCACAACTATAGATAATTTTAGTAACTTATCACCTTCTCTTAAAATACAACAAATGATCTATTCTTCCTCTATCCCATCTCTTTTCTATAAACAAATCCATACAGCCTTATCATTCTATAAACAAATCCATAGAGCCAAATCCATTTAGCCTTAGCACCATCGAAGTCCAATAAGGATTATCAAAGATAACTACATTTCTATTTTAACCTTGATCAAAGAAATCAACTTAATATTCTTTCCTGAGTGACTTATGATATTTCCTACCAGTGTCCCATTAACCTGGCTTGCAGGAAGCTGGCAAAAAAGCTCTGGCAAACAACCTGGTTGCCAAATGCCCAAATTTTGTTATGTGACTATGGAGATGCTGCAGCAGCTGGAATTTCAAGAACTAGTCTTAAGTCCCTTCATACAGTGCCCTTATAACTTTGAATAGTTACTGAACAAATTGGTCATAACTCAAGGACTACTACATGTACTAAAAAACCTCAAAAATACAACTTTCTAGAATTCTATTTGCATTGAGTTCTAAGCACCAGAAAAGCAACCATAATTAGGAGCCATTTGTGTTGTTTTAAGGTTATAAAGAAATTGTCTTGATAAGAAGAGATTCTTATTAAGAGAGGTTTTATTTCAAACCACATTGTATATACAGAGTCTGCAATGCTCTGAGGATTCCTGCCTTGCCCTGGGTTTAGAAAAGAAATTTTCCAAAAAAGGAGTTAAATGACTACCTCAGAAATCAGAATCTCTAAATCTCCTGATTTTTCTGGTTTTAGTTTTATTGCAAGGAAAAAGGAAAAAGAAATAAAAAAAGAATACAGAAATATATAAATGACTTTCAATCTTCACGACTAGAAGTATAAATAAATTTAGTGACTTTTCATCCACTTTCAGGTTACAAACCATTGTCTCTTCATATTAGGTCCCATCTCTTATCTAGAAAACCTCTTTTCAGTTTGAAAACTTCCTTTTCTAAGTCATTTATGGTCTTGGTCTGTCTCTATTTTGTCAGATAAAATTTGTTCTACACCTGTAGATAACAACTCTGGACATAGTATGTCCGTAGAAAAAGACATCATTATCAATATGGTTGATATTGTGGCTACTCTTTTCTGATTGCATTATTCAAAAGTCTCTTGCATTTTCATTGTTATGTTTTGCATCATTTTACATTTTACAGGCTAGTAAATCTTAAAAACTTTAGTCCCCCTAGTGTCCACTTTTTGAAATTATGAAATTGCTTAACTTAGTTATGGTTCGTGAAAACCAAAACAATCTATTTCTCATGAGAAGCTGTGTGTCCTTTAAAATTAATTTCAAATCGTACTGTGAAAGTTACAATATTTCAATTTTATCTGGATATCCAGTGTTTTCAAAATTGTTGTTCCAAAGGTCTCTAATCATTTAAAAGTAGTTAATGTGCAATTGGAGATAGCTGTTCTTCAGTCTTCTTGCAAAGAGCAGCCATCTGGACCATACATGGGCAACTTCCTGTCTTCTCCTTGTTCGAAGAGGTTCCAAAGAGTGGATTTATTTACGGGCTCTTTGTTTTTCACTGCAGTTGCCAGCTCCCCTTTCATGGAGACAACTTCAGTTCTGCTCTCCTGGAAGCCCTCAATGCAGTTCTCAACTGACCTCTACTGCATTGTTAGATGTTATCACAACTTTCTATGATCTGAGTTGTTCCTTCCAGATTTGCTGAGATTCCTACCTCCAGAATTCCCCAGCTAGTAGCAGCCCTGATCCCTGGAAAACTTGTCAAATTGTGATCCAAGTTCTTCTATAGAAACTGGTTTGAAAATGTTAGGGAGTGGATGGGAATAAGTTCAAAGCAATAGAGAATGCACAAAATTTCACATTAAATATGATATTACATAGTGCAAAGTATAACTTTTCCTCAAATTGTGGTTAAGTGGTTAACTCTTGATTTTTATTTTCAGGGTGGGAAGTGGCTGGTGACTACATCTACACAGCTGCAGGGGCTTCTGACAATGATTTCATGATTTTAACATTGGTAATTCCTGGCTTCAGGTGAGATCACTAGTCCAAATTAAGCTATGTATTGGAAATGCATTAGGTAAAGCAGTGAGAGCAGGTGCAATAGTAGGTAAGTGGAAAGTGCAGATAAAGCATTAATCTAAGCCCCGCGTCCACTGTTCCCTCTAAGGTGCGCGCCTGCGCGGCCGCGCACCTCGCAAGAAAAGCCCGCGCAGCAGATTCTATCTGCCGCGCAGAGTTTTCTGTAAAGCAAACGTGGGAAAGTTCTTTGCAGGCGCCTAGAACTGGCCGCCTGCAAAGGTCCTCCCCAGACTTGTTTTGATGAGCCGCCAGTCCTCTTGCTTCTGAGGTGCTCCGAGCGGAG